GTGATTATTTTATACGTGGATTGTGGGACTGCGGGGTTTGGTGGAACCTGGAGAGAAGCCCTCCAGCAACACAGAGAAGCGGCCCCAGGAGAATATTTACAGCTTTAGAAGGGGATTTATTGTGGCAAGTAGCTTGCTCCATCATGGAGGCCGAGGCATCTACTAGGGAGACACGGGAAAAGCAGTGGTGTGACCCAGTGTGTCTGAGGCCTGAGGACCTGGGGTAATGACTGCGTCATCCGAATCCAGGAGGTGGGTTGTAAGGAATGGGGGGTGGGTCCACCTAAGTCCTGGCATCTCGGGGGCCAAAGCCAGGGGAGCCCCAGTGTCCCAAAGAGAGAGCACACACTTGTTTCCTTTGCCTTCTGGTTCCATCCAGTTCCTCTGTGGTCTGGATGGTGTCTTTCCCTGTTGGTGAAGGCAGATCTCCTGTCCTTGGTCTTCTGGTTCCAATACTCTTTTCAATACTCTCAGGACAGGCCTGGGAATACTGTAATCTCTGTGCCTAGCCTTTAACCCTGTCAGGTGGTCACAAAGGTAAACATCACGTAATCCAACTTACTCATCCTGACTCTTTACTATATAGGGGAGAAAAATCAGAATATCCACTCTAGGTTTAGTGTATAGGAGAAGTGAATAAATCCACACTTTCGGTTTTTTCGGTGTTTGCTGGAAAGCACATTACAGCCCCTTACTTTAGATCAGAGAAAAACGATGGTGTCGTTAAATGTCCTCACCTGCACGGTGTGTCAGCGCTGAAGACTCAGTGGATTGTGTGGCAGAGATTCGAGGACAGTTGCCTGGGCTGTTTAAGGTCCTACCTGGCAAGGCTGCGCCCGCGCCACATTGTACAGTCTGCCACAGCAGCCACAGCCCGCTGAAGAGAGCGGACTAAATCTGCGACGAAGGGGAGTTATTAAAGATTTTAAAAAGCAGGGTTGAGACAATACGGGGCAGGCTAGAAGAGCAAGACACTACATGATGATAGGAGGACTTGTGTGATCACCAGGCCCGAGGTGACAGGGGTCCACCTAAGAGTGGGAACTCAAGAAGGCAGTAGCTGAGACATCTCCTCCATGTCTACGTTCTAAGCCAGCCCCTTAATAATAATAAAGTGGGTCCTGGCGACTGGCACAAATGTTCTGTTTGTGTTGGAAACTGATGCTTGACTTCCTCAAGCAATTACTTCCTTCAGTCTGGAGTTGAGGGGTTTTTTTTTCCCCCTTGCTTGGTCTGGTATTTGGTTTATTTTACATGGACGGACGTGTGTCTGCATAGACCCTGTTACAGATTTCCTCTCAGACGTATTTCATGTGCAAGTGAGTCTAATTTCAAGAAAACCTTAACCAGAAACTTGATCGTTCAAGTTCCCTGGAGTGGTCAGGTGCTCAGCTCAGTGGCCCCATCCCCAACTCACGACGGCAGCTGTGTACATAAGCAGTTGTCTCACGTGATAGCTCTCGCCCTGAGAGGTGTTGAAAGCTACGCCTTTTGGAGTTGGCACACTTGTAGGCCAGGAAATGGTATGAGCATGCCCCTCCCGTTCCTGTGTCAACCTCTAAATGTTAGCCACACATGGATGGGAAAGTGCCCAGCTGTGATTTCTGGTTTGCTTTGCTTTGGTTTTTTGGAGACAGGGTCTTACTATGGTACCTTAACTGGCCTGGAACTCAGGAGATTTGCCTGCCTCAGACCTCTCAAGTGCTGGGGTTGTTGTGCACCACTGTGCCCTCTCTGGCCCTCCGAGGGCACCTGTATGCAGATGGTGCTCATATAGACAAGCAGGTGCACACACATACACATAAATAAAAAAATAAATCATAGGCCAGGTGGGTGGAACATGCTGTTAATCCCAGGACTTGGGAGGAGGAGGCTGGGAATCTAGGAGTTCAAGGCCAACCTGGACTGCATAGTGAGACCCTGTCTCAAAATAGTAGTAATAATTACTATTAATCATTATTCTGTGTCTATATATTTTTCAAGTTTCTAAATGTCACGTTAAGTAGTTGATGAATAATGACTAGACCCAGTCTCTGTCATCAATCAGTGTCAACAACTTTCTCCTTTGTTTTTTTCTTTTAATGATATAATGTCATTGACACTCAGGTACCAATGTTCTATACGTTTTCTTTATATTTTTTCTTGTTTGTTTCTTTTTTGGGGGAGGCGGGTTTCGAGACAGGGTTTCTCTGTGTAGCTTTGCGCCTCTCCTGGGACTCACTTGGTAGTCCAGGCTGGCCTCGAACTCACAGAGATCCACCTGGCTCTGCCTCCCGAGTGCTGGGATTAAAGGCGTGTGCCACCACCGCCCGGCTTTATATTTTTTCTTGATGCATCAATATGTAACTAACCTCTTTCTCAAACTACTTATTTAATCTGTAAGTAATTATGTGTCAACTTTTCTGTTTTTAACTCTTGCTTCCAATGTTTTTACTTCACTTAAATTTTCTAATATTGCGTTTGTGTTAGTTTTTAATACAGGCTACTGCCCAACAGTGGTGTCACACGTCTTTAATCCCAGTGCTTGGGAGGCAGAGCCAGGTGGATCTCTGTGAGTTCAAGGCTAGTCTGGTCTACAGAGCGAGTTCCAGGATAGGCTCCAAAAGCTACACAGAGAAACCCTATCTGGAAAAACTGAAAAAAACAAACAAACAAAACAAAATAAAAAATACAGACTGCCATAGAACTTACTTGTAGCTCTAGGCTGGCTTTGAACTCATGATCCTTCTGCCTCAGCCTCTCAGAGTTCTGGGATTATAGGCATCAACCATTATCCTTGGGTTAGACGGTCAGTGTCTTTGGAGATGATTGCAGTAACGATGTTATTACTCTTCCACCAGAGAGAAGAGATAGATTCACGTATTTTTAGGGAACATAAACCCTTCTAGATTTGTGCCTCATCATTACGATATCATGACCCTCTTTAAATCAGGTTAGTACTGTCTCTTGTCATCAGTCCATGCTGACTGATTCTAGTGGACTCATACAAAATGCTCTCAGACCTTATAGCTGACCTTTTTTACTGTGCTGACAGAGCCCTAAAGGCTTCATGTGACTAACTCTTGTGAGTTTGTGTAACACCAGCCTAGGGAACACTTTGCCAGAATCTACCCTCTTTCAACTAGGAGACCTCCTCAGTCCTGAGAACACTGCCCTGTCCATCAGCCCATCCCAACCTGGCCCATGTTTCCCGGATAAATTGTAGTAGTAGTAGTAGTAGTAGTAGTAGTAAATAATAATAATAATAATAATAATAATAATAATAATAATAATAATAATAATAATAATAATGTCCTGGGGCAACCTACACAGCAGAGTGAGCATGGTGTGGTTTTAAAACATCATTTCTGAAATCTCCATACTTCGTGTCAAGACTGATCTTGAGACGGTCCTCTACCTAAGCCTCCCACGAGCTGGGAACCCAGGCATGAGCCAACACAGCAGCTTCCCAGTTGTGTTAAACCGAAGCCATGGCATCTTCGTTACCAAACCTGAGGCACATGGTTATATTTAGCAGTGTTCTTAGTGTAGCCAGGATTTCGGCCTGTGAAGATTGCCCCACCCTCCTGACCGCTCTCACTATATAAACGTGGCTGACCTCGAACTCACAGAGATCCCTCCGCCTCTGCCTCCTCAGTGCTGGGATTAAAGTTGTGCGCCACCATGCCCGGCCCATCTAAGTTTCTGTTTCAGCACGTAGTGCCGGCAGTTTTTAAATTGCACAATACCTCTCCTATGGCTTCTTCCTTGCCCACTGAGAGCTGGAGATGCACTTGTCTCAGACAAGCATCCTTCCAAGCCGCAGCTTAGCCCCTCCATGCTGCAGATGTGTTGGGAAGCCTCTGACTTCTCAGGTGACCCAGGCAGTCAGTGCTCAGGGCCCCCGGTCTGCCCACTGGGGTCAGTCCCAATGCAGGCCTTTAGCTTTCAGCATTAAAATCTCCTTCCCCAGCTGAACCGGGCCTCCAGGGATTTCTTGGTGCTCATTGAGTTTTGAGTCCATATCTGTCTCTCCCTTGCAAGAATAAGAAAATATTCTCCACGTTTTCCCCGTCCTTTGTGCAGTTCCTTTGCAGTACCAAATCACTCTGCCCTCACATCCAGACCTGAGGACCCTTCAAGAGCAGGAGCATCTCCAAGCCTGTGTCCCTCCACCCATGTACGGTGGGGACCACTGCACCCACGGACCCAGCATATTCCTAGAGTATTTAGATAACCTTCTGTGCTAACAGCTATGCTCAGCCAGAACTCCCAGTTCAAGCCTCCCTGTAATTATCATTATTGGTAGCATCCGGCCAGGTCTATCACCGGATGGAGGAAAGTACCTTATCAGAGATACCTTTGTACTCTCTAAGAACAGACTTAAGCATCCAGGCTACTTGTTTGAGAAGGCCTGGTGGATGTGCTAATTAAGCTTAACTTCTTTCCCAAATCTTACCTCCAGTTCCAGATCTCCCTTTAACTATCACCAGAGGCATCTAGCTGTACACAGGTTGCCTAGAGACTGAGCACACTTTTCCCCACCCTGCAGAAAAACAGCAGACAGCTTGGACAGATAGGAGCCACAGGAAAAAAGAAGACAGTTTTATTTTCTCCCATTGACCTAGCAACTTATAGATTTTTAACATCCTTTACCAAACACATTTAAGGTTATAGTTGTGCACGTAAGATCCCTCTTCTTAGATATTACCCGTATTTAGCCTTTAGTTAGTTCATTAGTCACTTCCCCTTTGGGTCACAAATGGTAATTAACAACTAGAGCCCCTCTTTGTAATTCTTATCAACCCTCCATTTGATCCTGATAATGGACAATCACTGCCTGAGGAAGTTCAGGCTGAATGTCCTGGGTGGAGGGGAGGATTGTGATTTCTGGGGGATATATAACTGTAAAACAAGGGACGAGGAGGAGAATTAAAGCGAATGGACCAAAGAACTCTGCGTGCATAGATTGATTTACCCACCCATGTACGGTGGGGACCACAGCACCCCCGGACCCAGCATGGTGGAGCCATCATAGCCACACATTGATTTATATAGTGGGGCGCCATGGAGGCTCCCTGACCACAGTTACCCATGATGAAAAGGGTACAGAAAGAAAAGGCAAAGAGACCAGAAAGACAGTGACTGAGGAGCTCAGGACCAAGGCAAGAGAAACTCTAAAGGTTTATCTTTCCTTCCTTCAGCTTTTCTACAGCTCTGGGTACTGCGTCCATCTGTCGACCATAGTTAGCATGTCCTGCTCTACTTGCCCTTACTGTAAGGTTATACAAGAGAAGTTAATAAAGAACTGAGATTGAGAATCCCATTCTTCTCTCCCTCCCTCAGACAAGCCCTTGTCATGTAGCCCAGGCTGTCCTAGAATGCAGCTTCCTCTTCCCTCGGCCTTCCCAGTGCTAGGTTTACAAGCATGGAATACAATGCATAGCTCTAAAATTCTTTTTAACCTTCCCCTGGTGGCGGGGGGGGGTTTTTTTGTAATTCATTTCATAAAATAATTTTTACTCACAATAGTAGTAGTCAATTTATTAAAACAGATAGGGGGGGGGGGGGTATGTTTTATTTTATTTGTTTTATTGTGACATAGTCTCATGTATTCCAGTCTGGCCTTTAACTTACTATGTGGTCAAAGATGGCCTTGAACTCCTGACCCTTCTGTCTCCATCTCCCTAGTGCCAGAATTACAGTCATGAGCTTCCATACCTGGTTCATGTAGTGCACAAATCAAACCAAGGGCTTCCTGCATGCTAGGCAGGTACTCTACCAACCAAGCTATACCCCAGTCCTTAGAATCCTTTTTCTGAGAGGCCTCCCAGGGTCTTGAAGCCGTTTCCTGTTCCGTGGGGGACGTGGGCATGTATGTGCATCCCCGCAGGAAACAAAGCAGCTCGAAAGCGAGCTGGCTGGTGCAGCTTCAGCGAAACTGGAGAAGAGGACAAGCACCTGTGATCAGGAGGAACTGTTAGACAGGATGCTACAACAGTGCTTCTCAAATCGAACCCAAGGCTCTCGGGACACATTTTGAGTGTCCCCACCCCCATCAGAGCTTTGGCTTAATGGGTCTCAGGTGGGGCCTAAAATATTCCCCTCTGAGATGACCCCAGGTAATCCTGATGTTGGTGGTCCATGTTCCACACCATGTACAGCTGCCCTAGAAATATGGACCTAAATATATACGAGCATTGTAAATGGTGAACTACAGTGATAATTGGAATTTGAAGTTGAAATTAAACTTCCTCTTCAGTTTCCCTTAAGTAGTTGAGACTCTAGGCTAACCAGGCCTAGTCGATGGTTCCTAAGATTCGTTGGAAGTCATCATTGCACTCATTAACTGGTTGGGACCAACTACCGTCATCTACCATATCCTACTGGCCTTCTGGTGAATCCGGCCGTTGCTCTCCAGATCTGTGCGTGGCCACAGTTTGCCTAGTTTCTCCTGTCATTTCTTCCCAGTGTTTGTGGTGATGGGCATTAATTTCTTTCTTTTTCTCCTCTGCCTCTTTCCATCGTCAACACCTCTAGGAGGAAGAGCAAAAGCAGGCAGTAAGTGAACTTCAGAATTCTCCTCTGGCCTCTCCTTCCGTTGCATGTTCCTCTGCTCCTTGTGTACATGTCTCATACCTTCCCCTTCGATCCTTGCATCACTGATCTCTGAGGAGCTGGTTATATGTGAAGCCCTCAGAAGTTTCCCTCCATGGTGGTGTGCCATGGCCTACGCCTGGGCTGTGCTTACCTAAGGGAGCATGTTCTTACTGCAAGCCCAAGCTTGTTGAATTTGTGCCCATTTAAATGTGCATGCTCAGCCAGGCTACCATTGCGTTTTCACATTCTTTTATTTTCTGCTGGTTTTATGTCCCAAGTGACCTTCATTGCTTGAAACAGCTTTCCAGGTGGTGGGAGTGACCTCAGGTCCAAATGATGTGTTCTAAGTGAATATGCATGAAAGTGAAGTGTTCCTTGGATGATTGTGGACATCCTATGGTTGCAAATAGGCCCTGGCTCCAACCGGCCTTCCTGGCCAAAGTAGTGATATTTCCTGCTCTGAGCCTTTGAGGGCTGGGAAATCAAGTGACTCAGGGTGTTCTGAGTGGCATGGTTATTTATTAATTAATTAATGGTGTTTGGGACAGTTAATATTTGATTTTGTTTTTCTTGATAGCTGTTATCCTACACACAAAAAAAATCGAGGGCTTGTCCATGATAATAACCTGGGATAAACTAAATTCAAGAGAGAAATATGAAATACTAATTCCAAAAAGGACTTTAAAACATTTGATTTAAAAATGACCCATCTTTTGAGGCTGGAGAGATGGCTCAGTAGTTAGGAACCCTGGCTGCTCTTCCAGAGGACCCAGGTTTAGTTCCTGTCTCTCACATAGCGGCTCACAAAGGTCTGTCACTCCAGTCCCAGGGAATCTGACGTCCTCTGCTGGCTGCCAAGGTCACTGCATGAACATGGTTCGCGTACATGCAGGCAAAATACCTCTACACATGAAATAAAATGAGAAAGAATTCTCCATCTTTTTCAGAAATATGGATGTATTAATGTGTTAGATTTATATGTGAGTATTTCCGGCTAGGAGAGCATTGCTGGTGTGTGGCAGAGACAAGGAAGAATGATGAGAGACTGTCAGTGAGGGAAGAAAGCATTGGGCCCAGCTAAGCACCCAGAAATCCCATGGACGTGAATGTCCCAAGTTTGCCGGGTTTGGGTCTTGCCTGGTTTTGGTCCTATTTCCTGAGTCACACAAAGGGTTTTTTTTGCACTTGTCCCTCGATAGGTGCATTCACCTGAGCAAAACAGAAAGATGAAAAATCAAACCCAGTTTTAAACATTGTTGCTGGAAGGTGACAACATCATCATTTCCATCCCCCTTCATTGATGAAAGAAAGCAAATCCCACGGCCACACTTGACTAGAAGAGGGTCGGGAAGTATGTTTCCAGCTTGTTTAGAAGTCAGAGAGGCCGGGCGGTGATGACGCTCGCCTTTAATCCCAGCACTCAGGAGGCAGAGGCAGGCGGATCTCTGTGAGTTCGAGGCCAGCCTGGGCTACAGAGTGAGTTCCAGGACAGCCACCAAAGCTACACAGAGAAACCCTGTCTCGGAAAAAAAAAAAAAAAAAAAAAAGTCAGAAGATGCTGGGGACGCCTCCTCACCCAAGCAGGAGAATGAGTGACTGGGCTGAGGGGAGAGCCAAGGACCCCAGTCCTTCCTGTCCCTCCAGCCCATGCCTTTGAAAGTCCCTTCCCCTCATCCGATGTGGCCAGCTGCTGACGCAGACGCCATTCCATCCGTAGGCACCGGCCACCGGTGTACTTCTTCTCTCCATCCCTGTACCCCGATCCCACTGGGTAGCTGACAGCACTTCCTGGGAGTCTGCTTCCAGAGGTCTTCCTCGCTAGCAGCTAGCACAACTTCCTAATGTCCCTGTCCCTGAATGTGACAGCCCAAAGGGACCCATGGGTTGGAGGGACCCTCTTCGCTGCCCGAGAAGAGGTCCCATGAGAGCGGCAGAGCTTCCTGAGGACGTTACGTTTTCTTCAGTTGTTTTATAGAATAACGTGTAACCTACAAAATAGCAATTGCCAGCCCTGGGAGGCGAATTTAATGCTGTCCTTGCTGTATCTGGTGGTCAAGACTGTGATCCTAACACTGGGAGATAGAGGCAGAAAGATCAGGAGTTCAAGAACAGCCTGGGAGCTGGGCGGTGGTGGCGCACGCCTTTAATCCCAGCACTCGGGAAGCAGAGGCAGGAGGATTGCTGTGAGTTCGAGGCCAGCCTGGTCTACAAAGTGAGTTCCAGGAAAG